TTGTGAAAAAAAAAATGCATGAGCTCTCTGCTTTATGCTGTACATGATTTTGTATTATGTTAATTCCTGACGTATTTAGAAGGAGTAGTGAGGGAATGTGGGGGTTGAGATGTATTTACCAATACCTTTCTTTAAACCAGGGCTGCTCAAACTTTTTTCCTTGAAGAGGGCAAAATAAAAAATCCTTTAGAGGCTTCCAGGGCAAACGCAAAACTGCAAATGCTTGTCTCAGTAAAGTCCTTATATTTCTTAGACCAGAGGTCTTCAACAGGGGGTCTGCAAACCCTAGGGGGTCCACAGAGGTACTGCATGGGGGTCACAAAAGTTTTGGTTGATTAGACTTTTTTTCTTTTATATTCCCCCCTGGAATCTTTTTCCACTAAATGAAATGTCTTTAAATACACATTAACATGAATTCAACACACTGATTTCATTGTCAATGTTACACTATCAGACGTGTTTGGTTTTGCTGGGCTACAAGGTTAAGAAGATTGACATTCTATTTGTTATTATATCTCAATTTTATAAATGAAACATTTTGCACAAGCTTTCCTTTTATGTGCACGGCTCTGAACTATTTGCCTTGTATTTAACAACATCTACAAACATTCAGTGACACACGGGAGCTCTTTCAAGATGGGCACCGTTTCATTCACAACACCTGTCCCATCAACGAGGAGTCAGAATCAGAAATACTTTAATAATACCAGGGCGAAATTACTTTCATTACATTACTCCATCTGTGGTAGAGTAACTATAGGACCAGTTTGATATAACACAATATATATAATTATTCGTCAGTTTGGGGGTCCTATGCCTGGAAAACTTTGAAGACACCTGTCTTAGACATTTATATAACCTTTATTTCTGCTTAAAGAAAATATAAATAATGAATAAGACATAGATTTTTAAAACATATATGTTGATCTCAATATTTAAGAATATTTTAGTATCTGTTACAAAATGTCAAAAACTGTATAACAATTAGGCAGAAATAACAATATGGCACAACTGAGACACATGAAGCTGGTCTATAATTCTTCCAGCATCAGCCTGTAGCTGATTCACTGAGAGCTTCAGTATCTCCTGTAGGTCTGAGTCCCTGCCTAGTAAAGGTTCATTATCACATGTGCTACCAAACAAAGATACCATCACCATGTTTCCCAATCTCTGGGTATCAAGTTTGTAGAAATCTCTAAGGTATAACCTGTCTTATATTTTTATCCAAGTGTCACACTGAAACTCAGTTAGCTCCTCAATTGCTTTGGCTCATTTTGGAAATACTTAGACATTGTGGTGAAATACTTGATCTACACTTATTTGATGTGAGAACAGGAAACCCATTTGAGAATGAAATTGTTAAATGTACCTGTCATTCCCACCAACTGATCTGTCCTGAACATTGTCACTAGAGCTTCTTTTTGCTTTTGTAATCAGTGATAAATTCATCAGCCGTGCACTTTATCTATAAGACAAAACAATATGAGAAAAAAAAATTCCATAACCACTTATAGGTAAGATGAATGTGTTTTGATGGTATTTGTTTTGTAAACTGAACCGTGACATCATTGAAAAAATCGGTAAGCTTTGCTCATTAAGTTACTTTTTATTTTAAAAGAAATGAACCCAAAACATTTAACCACATCAATATAGAAATAGTTCATCAGACACATTTATTGCAATCACATCTGTGGACAGAAGAAAAAGTGAGCACAGGAGAGGACACATTAGTCTGGATTTTGAGCTTAAAAGGAATGGACAAAACTGAAATTTCAGTTTGCACCAACCCTTTTGAAAGCTTGTTAAAGACTTAAACTGTTAAACTTAACTGTGAAAGTGCATTATGGGAGTTGTAAATATTGAATACAGTTGAGGGAGTAATGATAATAAAGGCTTTTCCACAAAGAAATGTGAAAAAAACAAACTAAAAGCTAGAATTAAGCTATGTTTTCAATGTGAGATTTTGCAAACTGCAACAAAAGATCAATTTTAAGGCTTTTTACTGACATTTACCATGAATTCTGATAAATGTGTGTATCCATATATATATATAGATACA